CTCATAACTCTATATTTTTTACTTTTTACAGTCCTAGGTGAATCAGGAGGTTTGTAAACCAGATAGGGCAATAATGGGCTGGGGGGTGGAATCTTCCTCAAGACTTCTCCCAATCTCCTGCTTTAATTTCGGAAGAACATTAGTAGAAGCAGCAGGAAACATTGCCACTCGTATTCGTTTCTATGCTGGACTGGGGATTCCCTCAACGATGCAATGTGAAACTAGGTGAGCTCTCCAAAACCAGACACAGAGAATGCTGGAGAAATTCAGCAGGTCTGGCAGCATCGGTAGAGAGAGAAATAAAGTTAACATTTTGGGTCCAGTATGACTCTTCTTCAGATCTGTTCTGAAGAAAAGCCATATTGGACTTGAGACGTTAAATTTGTCTCTTTCCCTCCTGACAGATGCTGCGACATCTGCCAAGTTTCTCCAGCATTCTCTGCTCATTTCAGATTTCCAGCATCTGCAGTATTTTGCTCTTATACAGTCATACAGCGCAGAATCAGACCCTTCGGTCCAACCAGTCCATGCCGACCATAATCCCAAACTAAGCGAGCCCCACCTGCCTGCACTTGACCCATACCCTCGAAACATTTCTTATTCATATACTTATCCAAATGCCTTTTAAGCATTGTAATTGTACCTGCATCCACCACTTCCTCAGAAGTTCATTCCATACACAAACCACTGTCTGTAAAAAAAGAAAAAATTGCCCCTCATGTCTTTAAATTTTTCTCCTCTCACCTTAAAAATATGCCCCTATTCTTGAAATCCCCCACCCTAGGGAAAAGACACCTGCCATTCAGCTTATCTATACCCATCATGATTTTATAAACCTCAGTGAGTGACCTCTGAAACTCCTATGCTCTAGTGAAAAAAGTCCCAACCTTTCCAACTTCTCCTTATAACTCAAAACCTCCATTCCCGGCAACATTTTGGTAAATATCATCTGATCCCTCTCCAGCTTGATAACATCCTTCCTATAACGGGGTGATGAGAACAGGACAGTTATTTATTTGAGCTCTCCTGGTCTACTCCCTTACAAAGCCCAAGATCTTAATGGGACCTTGATAATTTTCATTATCAGAGCGGTGACTTCTTAAGGGTCTAGGCCCAAAACGTCAGCCTTCCTGCTCCCCTGACGCTGCTCAGCCTGCTGTGTTCATCCAGCTCCACACCTTGTTATCTCAGATTCTCCAGCATCTGCAGTTCCTACTATCTCATTAACCAGAGTATCACAGGTTAACACTCAGCTGTTAAGCATTCAGATTTGAGGATCAAAGAAGCACCCAGCAGTAACCATTGGCTGGGATCTTAGAATCAATGGATGGACAAATCATACCTCCTGAGTCCACTAATTTTATTTCAGAATTACTAAATTGACAAACAAGAATTAACCATGTGATCTAATTCTGATACATTTTCAGAAGGCATGTGATAGGCCAGGTAAGGAGTTTAGAACATTGTAAGATTCATCTTCACCTTTAACTTCAAGCCCCAGTTAAGGCTGCACAGACTGGGCTACGAGAGAGAAAAAAAAAAGTGATAAAACATGGGAAAAGTAAAGAAAATCCTGAATGCAAACAGTGAGGGTAAGCAGTGGATTAATTTTGTCAATTTAAAAGCAGAAAACTCACACTGCAAGTGAGCTGAGACAAAGGGAATAGATTAGGGAGCAAAGCTGAGGATTAGTGAGCAAGATTGAACTAGGTTCTACACTAGACCTGCTTTCCAGCCCATAGCCTTGAATGTTAATTTTTAGAAACCCTACAATGTGGAAACAGGCCATTTGGCCCATCAAGTCTACACTGACCCTCCAAAGAGCATCCCACCCAGATCACCCCAGTATCCTATCCCTGCATTTCCCATGGCTAAGCCACCTAGTCTGCACATCCCTGATCACTAGGGGCAATTTCCCAAGGCCAATCCACCTAACCTGCACATCTTTGGACTGTGGGAGGAAACCCACGCAGACACAGGGAGAATGTGCAAACTGCAAACAGTCACCTGAGGGTGGAATTGAACCCAGGTCCCTGGCACTGTGAGGCAGCAGTGCTAACCACTGAGTCACTGTGCCTCCCCATGAAACTTCAAGTGCTTATTCAAGCTCTTTTTAAAACTTATGAGCTTATCTGCCTCAACTACCCTCTCAAGCAGTGCCTTCCAGACCCCTATCTGCCATAGTATAGAAGGTTAAGATGTCATAGTCCTAGAGGACCAAAGGGCTATTCTTTCATCAGAGGGAGGGAGAGAGAGAGAGAGAGACACGACTGGTGGCATATAGTTAAAAGTTTAGATGAGTGAACAAGATTCTGGAGGACTGGTATCAATAGTAAGGAAGGAACGAGAGGGCACATCGTTTCCCACTCCAGTCAGGAAGAGTATAGCATTGATTGCTGAGACTGGAGTGCCCGGTCCCAAGCAAAATCCTTTAAATACCTTTTCTAAATACATCCAAATTGACCTAATTCCGATCTTGGCTCCTGATATCTGCTAACAAATGCTCTGAAGAGGACAAGTCGGCCGGAAGGATGCTATTTGTGATTTGACTGCTCGTTGGTTAACCACATGGTTACAGCTATAAATACACGCGGGAGGACAGGTTGACAGAGTTGTGCTTTTTTTAAAAGCAATCTGGAATCCAAGGTTTTATAAATAAGGGTCCAGTGTACAAACACAAAGCTGGGTAAGGCTAAACCAAAATCTCTCATTGATTGTGCCACTTTTCGAGCACATTACCCAGTTTTGAGTGACCTACTTTAAGAAAAACATCAAGGCCATGGGTAAGATACATAAGAGATTCATGTTGATACACAAGGTAAGACAGGCCCTAGTTAAGAGGCGAGACTGGGGAGAAATTCTCTTGTAATGACAGCTGGGAAGGTTACAAGGAATTTTGTTCGAGGTGCTTGGAGCAATTGAAAAGATAAATCCAGAAATCTTTTCCCACTGAATGGTGGGCCAGGTTTTCCATGGGTAAAGTCACCTTTTCACATAAAAGGTAGCAGAAATCAGAAACATTCCATCTCCCCCAGCAGCCGCTGAAACAGGTCTGGCAGCATCTGTGAAGGGAAAAACAGAGTTAACGTTTCAGGTCTGGTGACCCTTCCTCGGAACTGATGGTGGCTGGGAAAATGTCAGTTTTATATGTAGAAGATAGGGAGGTGGGTGTGGTAGGAAGTAAATAATAAGGTAGAGCCCAAAGAGAGAGAAAGACAGTTGGACAGACAAAGGAGTTGCCAACGATCAGGCTGGGAGGGTGAATAGTTGTTAATGGGGACTGTTAGTGACTAACAATAGTGGGTGTGTAATGGCAGGCTATGTGATAACAAGGCCTGGTGTGTGTGTAGCGGGGTGGGGAGGAGTTCAGTTGAATGTTGTCAAATTGAGGATGATAAATCCTTGTTGGATCAAAGGTTACTTTTCAGTTGTAAAATCATTGGACTTGTAATCCCGCAACCCAGTTAATGCTCTGGGTACATGAGTTCAAATCTTGCCATAGTGGCTGTGCACTTTAAATTCAGTTAATAAAAATGGTAGAACATTAGTCTCCGAAATGGTAACCACAACAACAGTCATTGATTTGCAAAATCCCTATCCGGTTCATTGATGTCATCTAAAAAAGGATATTGGCCATCGTTACCTGGTCTGGCCTACATGTGACTCCAGACCCACAGCAACATGGCTGACTCTTAACTGCCCTCTGAAATGGCCCTAACAAACCAGTCAGTTCAGGGCCAGTTAGGATGGGTGATGAATGCTGGTCTTACCCTTGAAAGAATAGAAAAGGGAAGTATCAAGGATGGACTTAAGATACTGATGAGGTTGGAGGGACACATGATAAAATATTCTGACATTCACTAGCTATCACTTTGACCATAATAACACAGGCAATGGCCAATCAACAGCCTTCTTTTCTTCATTTGGAGATGAAAATTGGGCGAGAGGTTTGCCAGGAGGCTAAATTTCATTCTTGCCCACTTTACAGTAATTCACAAACTCAAATGATCCCATTGTATCTGAGCGAATGGAAACTCGGAATATTTTAAATTGACTTCTCTTTGTGGGGAATCAAAGCAGAATTGTGCATCTTTACCAATGAGGTTAACTAGATTGGGGAGGCTCTATGACTGTACAAAAACGAGACCATAAGACATTGGAGCAGAATTAGGCCGTTCAGCCCATTGCATCTGCTCTGCCATTCGATCATGGCTGAAATGTTTTTCAACCCCATTCCCCTGCCTTCTCCCTGTAACCCTTGATCTCCTTACCAATCAAGACCAATCTAATTCTATCTTAAATACACTCAATGACTTGGCCTCTGGTCCTCTGCAACAATGAGTTCCATGGTGTGACCACTCTCTGGCTGAAGAAATTCCTCCTCATCTCAGTTCTAAATGGTTACCCCTTCAATGAGGATGTGCCCTTAGGTCCTAGTCTCTCCTACTAGTAGAAACCTTGTCCACTCTATCCAGGCCTCTCAGTATTCTGTAAGTTTCAGTCAGATCTCCCCTCATCCTTCTAAACTCCACCAAGTACAAACCCAGAGACTTCAACTGCTCCTCATATGACAAGCTCTTTATCCCATTCTTGTAAAGCTCCTCTGGACCCTCCCCCACACTGCCCCCACCCCCACCCACCTCCAAAGCCAGCACATCTTTCCTCAGATACAGGGACTAAAACTGCTCACAGTATTCCAAATGTGGTCTGACCAGAGCTGTATACAGTCTCAGCAGTACATCTCTGTTGTGCTCTGCTCCACGCTGTCTGATGGAAGCAGTAAGCTTCAGGACCCAAATGTAATTCCCTTGTTTTATGCTCCACCTTCTCAAAAGTTATTTTGAATTTTCAATCCTATTCATCCCTCAATCTCATCAGACTGTCTGTTCATCCATCCTTGTTTCTGAGGGTTGGTCCATGATTTCCAAAAGTATCCATGGTTTGACATTGCTCTTTGAAGGGTGACTGACCAAGAAACCCTCCTGCTCATGTTATCTGCTATTGGGTGCACTGGAAGAGTTTACAAAAACACCAATGCACCAACAAATCCTGGTGTGGGATTTGAACAGAGAGCTTCTGATCCAGAGGTGGGGACGCTATCCACTGCACCATGAGACCTCATTGAGTTATTCAGGGTAAAGTAATGGGGCTGCCTTGTTGAATGTGTTTTCCTAGCCGTCATTTGAATCTATGGAATTCATTGCCACAGAATACTGTGGAGACCTGGTTATTGAGTATATTTAAGGCAGAGATAGATAGGTTCCTAATTTTAAGGGGATCAAAAGTTACGCAGAGAAGGCGGGAGAATGGGGTTGAGAAACTTATGAGGCATATTTGAATGGCAGAGCAGACTCGATGGGCCGAATGGCCTAATTTCTGCTCCTGTGTCTTGTGGTCTTATCACAACCAGTTATAACTTGCTAATTATGGTTTCTCATTGCATTAATCTACTTAGGTGGATTGCGGTTGAGTAGTTAGGGGGATTGTCCATGTTAAATTGCCCCCTCATGTCTAGGAATGTGCAGGTTGGGTTGATTAGCCATGCTAAAATGTGAGTTTATGGGGATAGGGTCAGGGCAGGATGTTGCTCAGAGGGACGGTGCAGACTCAATGAGCCAAACAGCCTCTTTGTGAAGCGTAGGGATCCTGTGATTCTGCTTGCTTTGCAGGTTCCTCAGCAATGGCCATGATGCACAGTCCTGATGGGAACTGGATGGCAATGCAAAGCACACCAGCTAGTCGCCCTCGATTGCTAGCCAAACCAAAGAGCAGAGTGTTCATTGCATTGGAGAATGAGGCAGACATTGTGTCCGCTTATGACGAGATGGGGACGGATGATGACAATGACGATGATATTGGTTGGAGTGCTGCTGACCTCAGTGAGTTGAGGCAATGCTCGGCCAAGCTGTCGGATGAGACCTACTTCACCGACTCGCAGCACGACAATGACTGGCCGGGCGCCGATGGAAAGCGCCAGCTGGTCACCTCACCGTCCTCTGGCCGATACACCAACACGGAGACCATGTGCTCGGACTCGGAAACGTCCTCCACCGGCTCAGTGCAGATATCCATACGCGGCTCAGACGGCCAGGTTACTGCAGACGAGAGAAAGTCAAGCCACAACGCAACCAAACCAGCCAGCGTTCACTGTGCTGGGCAGCTAGATATAAACTACAATGCACAGCCACAAGGATTTGGGAATGTAGACAGCAGCGAGGGCGAAGATATCCCTGATGAGTCGGAGAGGAAACACAGGAGGAGAAGACGAAACAAATGCTCACCTCAGGAGCACGAAACAGACAGCCCTTTGAAAATCCAACACTCGCTTTCTAAAAACACATGCCAGGTAACCTCGTACTTTTCATCTTGTTCAATCTATATCATTGCATCAGGTGTAATTACAGTAGGACTCTGCTGTTCACTGGGTACATTTACATTATCACATTATAATTACAAAGTGCGGTGTGATTGTTAAAATCATGTTGACAGTGAGATTTGAAGCAAGCGAGTGATCAACCTGTTTCACATCTCTGTCAATTGTCAGTTCCACCAACTTCAAAGGAGGGAGATGCTTACTCGCTATCCCACAGCGTTGAAATTGCCCCAGTGGAACTTAAGGTACAAGCTAGAAGCAATTTACTTCTTCAAAAAAAAATGCTAGGCAGCGTAATCATAAAGCAAACTATAGACTGCTGTAGCAAGACAAATCATCCCACACGTTTGTCCTTAACAGTCGCTGAGAACAATAGGAACAGGAGTAGGCCATTCAGCCCATCAAGCCTGCTCCACCATTCAATAAGATCATGGCTGATCTCGGCCCTAACTCCATATCCCTGCCTTTGGCCCATATCTCTTAATAGCTTTGCTCAACAAAAATGTATCTATTGCAGATTTAAAATTAACAACTGATCTAACGTCCACTGCCGTTTGTGGAAGGGAGTTCCAAACCTCAGCCCCTGTTGAGTGTCTGCAGTGCAAGTCTTGGGTGTCACTGGGAACATTAGAGCTTACTGGTGACGCACTGCCTACCAATGTAGAGTGGAGGTCACAGGCAAAGTGTGAAGCTGTGCTCTCTTTTTATAGCGATACAGAACGTTACTGCAAAAACTGAACAGAGGCTGGTAGCCCATCACCACGTCACTCTTTATTTACATGTGCACAGTACACTGGCTGTGACCAGCCAGCTCAGAGTCAGTCCCTGAAGTCAGGAGATTCTGGATCCCCTGTTTATATTTCTTTTTCAAGGAAAAATACCCATGTGGCCAGGAACAAGTAACAAGCAAAGCTAGATAAAGGGGCAAGATTACCTGTTTATATTCATCAGCCAGAGCTCCCTGATTGGCCCACGTTAACAGCCCCAATCAGGGATCTCACAGTCAATAAGGTCCACCTGGTTCCAATCACTACAGTTACAATGCATCTTCAGGAGCTTTTGTGCAGGCTAAAGTACAGAACTGAACCATTAAGTTTTCTCACTGAGTGCTGGGTCCAATGGCCTGGTTAGACCCCACTTGGAATAATGTGAGCACATCTGGGCACCACACTTTAGGAAGGGTGGTTGGGCCTTGGAGAGAGTTCAACATAGGTTTTCAAGAATGATACCTGGATCTGAAGGGTTAGGTTACAAGAAGAGATTACACAAATTAGGTCTGTTTTCTCTGGAATTCAGAAGGCTAAGGGGTGGATTTGATTGAAGTCTTCAAGATATTAATAGGAAAAGACGGGGTAGATAAAGATAAACTATTCCCACTGGTTGGGGATTTTAGAGAGATGTTAGGAAGCACTTCTACATACAAAGGGTGGTAGATGATCTCTTCCACAAATGGCAGTGGATGCTGGATCAGTTCATTTTAAATCTGTGATAAATAAATTTTTGTTAAGTAAAGGTATTAAGGGATATGGGCCAAAGGAAGGTATATGGAGTTAGGCCACAGATCAGCCATGATCTCATTGAATAGTGGAACAAGCTTAAGGGGCTTGATGGCCTACTCCTCTTCCTATGCTAAATGAATGAAAGGTCACACTTCCTGTCTGCAGGTTTCAAATCGAGGTTTTTCTTGTAGCCTTCATTGTTACCATAATTGAATCACATCAATGTCTATCGCAATGCAATTAGCTGCAAAAATAGAGGGATTTAAAGAGATGGAGGAAGCTAGAAATTAGTTAGAAGTAAGTTAAAAGCAACATCAAAATAAACCCAAACACAAGACAAAGCCTGGAACAAAAGATGATGGGAGCTGAAATGAAGCTTTTTTTTTCAAAATGTGCATGGGATGAAAATCCCAGAATGGGTTAATTGGTGACTGAGTCGAGAACATCCAATGGAGGAGCTGGGTTAGGCTATTGAGCCCTTCAGGCCTGCTACCCCGTACAGTCAGATGATGGGTGATCTGGTTGAGTTCTCAATCCCATTTTCCTGTCTGTCCCCATAACCCTTGACTCCTTTATCTATCAAAGATCCATCTAAATCAGCCTTGAGTATATTCAATGTTGCAACCTCCGCTACTTTCTTGGGAAGTGAATTCCACAGACTAATGACCCTCAGACAGAAAGGAATTCTCCTCAAATCAATCTTAAAAGGGAGACCTCTTATTCTTAAACTGTGCTCACCTGCTGTCACCCCATTTGAGATTCCTAAATGGCTGATTAAAGGCCAGTTACACACCATCACCCACCTTCCCAGCCTCACTTTGAGGCCCCAGAGAGACATTTTTAAGCACAGGGGAGAGCCCGGCAGGTTCCCATGCCTGAACCTCAAATGGCAAAGTAGGTGAGGAGAGATGGTGGTGGATAGCACCTCCCTCATGAGTGCTGTATCCAAATTGGCCTGTTTCACCTCCCCCACACCCACCACCACCCTCTACAACAAAATCTGTTACCCCCTCACACTCTGAATGTTGCCTCCTCAAGTGTCCTATCATCACAACAGGCACCCACATCCCCCTCCCTGTTGGGAAACTCTGGACTTACAAGCGTCCATGGGCTCCAGCTGAAAGGAATGCCTGCAGTACCAACATTGGCCACCGTGACCGGTGGCACTGCTGATACCGCAGAGCTGCTGACTTCACAGATCCAAATGAAGGGCAAAAGTCTTATCTCCAGCCACTGAACGCTCCACAGGGTGCTAAATGACCTTGGATCTGCTGGGATCGGCCTGTGCAGGTAGAAAACAAGTAATGCCCTGTATCATCCTTCCCTCACAAATACCATATGTTTTTTTTTTGCATAATAACTTTCACAACTTCAGGAGCCCCTTCCACACTTTACGGTCAAAGATATAGCCTTGAAGTGTAGTCACTTACAACACAGAACTCATCAAAAATTATCTCGAAAACTTTGAATGACACAGCAGGTGGAAATTTCTGGGGAAAGAGTTCCATTGCTTCATTGGTGAAGAATGGAACCTTGCTGCTTTTTCTCATTACTGGCCTAGTTCTAGTTTAAAAATTATCACCACTTACTAGAGAAAATTGTTTCTCTATGGCTGCCCTATAGAACCCTCAATGTTCCCTGTCAGCTGCACATGCAGGTAGCATTTGGGTACATATTGCACAATGACCAGACAGGCTGTGTGTAACTAATGTTCCCAATGAACATTTGCACAGCAGTTTTAGAGGGACCATGCAGAGCATCCATATTGCAAAAGAAAATTGGAGAGAAAGTTGCCCCTTTTACCATTTTATTAAGTGACTTTAAAAGCTATTTTCAATCTTTTTTTTGCGATATTTTCCATTGTTCACCCTTTTGTCAGCTGGAGTGTGCAGAAGCAGCATTCAGTGTACAAACCCCACAGTGAATAGGAAGTTGGGAATGTCAAGCAATCTCCACAAGGTGTCACCTAATACTCGATTATCAGCAGTGACTGAGACTCTCAAAACAGCGCTCGAGCAACATCTTTGTCATCCAAGCAAATTAAAACAAGTTCTCAGAGAAAAGTCACTCTGTTGTGCATGTTATGCTAGCATTTTCAGTCGGAAAATGTGCATAAATGATGAATTAAAATAAAACAAGGGGAGGCAGTGGCCTAGTGGCATTATCACTAGACGAGTGATTCAGAGACCCAAGTAATGTTCTGGGTTCAACTCCTACCACAGTGGTAGCATTTGAATTCAATTAAAACAAAATCTGGAATTAAGGGTCTAATGATGATCATGACACCATTGTCAATTGTTGGAAAAATGCATGTGGCTCACTGATGTCCTTTACGGAAGCATACTGCCATCTTTACCTGGCCTGGCCTGCATGTGACTCCAAATGCAACCGAATCTTAACTGCCCTCTGGACAATTAGGGATGGGCAATAAATGCTGCCTCGCCAGCAATGTCCACATCCTGTGAATGAATTAAACAATAATAGACCGTCTTCCCAGTTAAAACCTACTTCAGTCATCCAATAATTGTATGAGGGCATTGTTTAAAATAGTTTCAAATGCAGAGGTTATATTATGGTTATCTTGTATTCTTTGGAGTTGAGAAGAATAGAGGGTAATCTTGTTGAAACATCAGGTCTTGAGTCGAATTTACCAGCTGAGTGGTGAGAACGTGTTTTGCCTTTGCAGGAGAGATTAGAAGTAGGGGCTACAGTTTAAAAATAAAGGCCTTTATTTAAAAGGGAATGGAGTATAAAAGTAGGGAGGTCTTGCTAAAGCTTTGCTAAGCAGTAGTCAGATCACAGAATACTGTGAACATTTCGGAAAGATTTTGGAGTTAGCCCAGAGAAGGTTCACTAGGCTGATATCAGCTACAGAGGAACTTACTTATGAGGAGATGTTCAGTAGGTTGGGTGTATACATGTTGGAATTTAGAAGAATTTGTGGCGCAGTCCTACCCCTGGACTAGAAGGACCAGGTTCAAGATCCACCTGCTCCAAAGATGTGTAATGATATCTCTGAACAGGTTGATTAGGGAAAAACAGGCTAAATAAAAAAATGTAAATTTCCAAAGAATTTTTTGTTTTGAAATGTATAAGATTTTTAGGGGAGATGCAGAGAGGTAGTCTCCCCTTGTTGGAGAGTCTAGGACCAGAGAGCATAATTTCAGAGTGAGGGGCTGCACATTTTAGACAGAAATGAGAAGGAATTTCTTCTCTCAGAGGGAGTGATTCTGTGAAATTCTTTACTGCAGAGGGCTGTTGCAGCTGGGTTTTTAAGTATATCCCAAGGTTGAAGTAAACAGATTTCCAATCAGGAAGGGAATCACGGGTTATAGGGAAATGGCAGGAAAGTGGATTTGAGGATAAGCAGATCAGCCATTGAATGACAGAGCAGACTGAATGTTCTGAATAGCCTGCTTCTGCTCGTGTGGGGCAGCACAGTGGCTCAGTGGTTAGTACTACTGCCTCACAGTGCCTGGGACCTGGGTTTGATTCCACCCCGGGCGACTGTCTGGGTGGAGTTTGCACATTCTCCCTGTGTCTGCATGGGTTTCCTCCGGGTGCTCCAGTTCCTCCCACAGTCCAAAGATGTGCAGGTTAAGTGGATTGGCCATGCTAAATTGTCCATAGCGTCCAGGGATGAACAGGCTAGGTGGGGTAGCCATGGGAAATGCAGGGTTGTAGGGATGGGTGTGGGGTGTAGGTCCAGGTGGGATGCTCTTTGGAGGGTCAGTGTGGACTTGATGGGCCAAATGGCCTGCTTCCACACTGTGGGGATTCTATGATGATCTTAAGAGAGAGATGTGGAAGAATTCTTTCACTCAGAGGGTCTTGAATGTGTGGAACTCCTCCCAGAAAGCAATGGAGGCAGGCTCATTGAGAATTTTTGAGGAAGACGTAGATAGATTGTGGAGCAACAAAAGAACGAAAGGCTTTCGGGGAGTAAATGGTGCGATGGAGGTGAGGCCACACTCACATCAGCGTGATCTTCTCAAATGGCAGAGAATGGTTTGAGGTCCCAAACAGCCCATTCATGCTCCAAACTCAGAACTATAATCAGAAGAAGGTTAATTAGTTTGTTATTAATAAGCTGAGTGAAGAAATGCCCGTCACTGTTCCGTAGATATGCTTGATGACATCATCAGCCACTGGTTGGGAGTATGAGAATGGAGTGGAAGGTGTGTCAAAGAGGGTTTTGGAATAGTCAAATGTAACAAAACCATGTTTGAGGATTTCAGCAGCAGGTAGGATGAAGAAGAACTGGAAGTGGCTGATGTTTAGAATTTTAAAGATGGTCTAACTGATGGAAAGGGGATTGGAATCTGAGCTCAGGGTCAAGGTTGTGAAGAACTGGCTCAGTCTTAGACACTGTCCAAAGAGAGGGATACTTTATACTTTCATGGGATGTAAATGTCCCTTGGTTGGCCAGCATTTATTCCCCATCCCTTAAACTATGTGCTGTGTGCCACTTGCTATTCCACTCACCGCCCTTCTTTCTGACACTGAACCCCTTCTCTTCGACCTAAGGAGCTGAGCAGGTGTATGTTCGTGATGGAGCAGAGCCTTTCGAGGCTGGAGAGGAGAATTAGTTTGGGGACCTGGAGCAGAGAGGTAAACTTTGTGTTTGCAACCATCTATGTTAAAGTAAGCACATTCCGAGTTTACATAGGAATGCTCATCCATTCAGAATGTATTTATTTTTGCCCAGATCTCTCCAATGGGCCAGTCTCATCAAACATGGTGTTCCATTGCTGTGTCATATTGTAATTTCTGTTGCTAACTGTCTCAATGTTACAGGCATTCTGCAGACTGTCCCACAGTCTTTATAGTATCCAATAATGTTTCGGATATAAGGTCATGCTCCTACTCCACCACATCCTCTGCCTTTGACCATCTTTCATGTTTGAGCAATCTCATTGTGTTAAACCCGCAATGTTGCAGAATATTGATGTTTGCCTGTAGATGGGTTCACCCTGCTGCTTCATATTTGCTTGTACCAGTTCAACTTCACAACATGTTGGGCTGGATTTTATGTTTCTCAGTGGGATGAGGGAAACAGAACATAAACACTGGGTGGCCAGTTAGTGATCATCCAGCAGGAAGGAGACCAATTAGCGTTGCAAAGGGGAGCCCCCACTGCCACTGGGTGGGGAAGGGATCAAAGCCTAGATGTCATGTTGACAGCGGGGTTACTTTACAACCAGGAAGTTGGATCCGACAGCAGCTTAAGAAATCTGTCTTCATGTTTTATTAAAGTCTCCAAAGAGCCAACCAAAAAGCAGTTTAAAAACTAACCAGCAGAACCTGCCTGCTACATTCAACCATGGTCCCACTGGCAGGGGTGTTCCTTCCGCCCTTGTGCCACCCCATCAGAGTTGGCGTAAAGCACTCCCACACGTTCTCTCATCGGATGCCCACATAATGAAAGATTGCAGACCATTGGGTCATGAATGAGCTCAGTAGCTGGTTAATTAGCCACTTCCGTACGACTGGATTTTGTGCCATTCGCCGTTCGTGGTTTCAGAGACTGGTATGATGATGCCCTGTCGCCATCTCAACATCATCGCACCCTGTTTTACATTTGCTCTGCAGAGCGGGAGCCCAGGTCCCGATTGTGACAGTAAAGTCCAGCCCTTTATCGTCAATACTCTTGTTTTCAGAGTGGTCTGTCATCTGTCCAAGATGCAAGAAGATTTCTTCAAGTGGGAGAGATCGCAGTGGAAATGGTCATATCCATTTAAAATGCATCACACATACTAGTGTAAGAGTGGAGGTTTTGAGACCAGATTTTTAGGCAGACAAGTAGTGAGTTAACTTTAACACGGGTGATTCTTTTGAGGGGTTTAAATCCATGTCTGAAATGACACTTGACACCAAATGCTGGCAGTGTTGCTAAATGCAGGCAGGAACATCCGTCCGAGGCCTTCTACTGGTATGTGTAGCATCTAACTCAGAACAGAGCACTTGTGAAAAAGTCTCATTAGACTGTTGCCACCAATGTCTCTGCCAAAAATAGAGCAAAACATTAAGGACTTCTTGGGTTAAATATTGGGGCTCCATTCATACACGCTATATATGAAAAGCTAAGCATTTTGAAGCCAAATATTGTTGGCAACTTTTACATGAGACCTGCTATCACTTGAGTACAAATTTCATTCTTTATAAGTCAGTCAAATGCCAATTTATTGAATCTTTCTTTTTAAAGGAATCGCCTATTTCTGCACAAAAGGTCCAAAACCCAGAGAGGAAATCCAATCTGGATCCAGATAGTGGAGTCACATTTTCTAGAACTCATGCAGATTTAATGGAAGAGAAACTAAGAACCAAGTTGGTTCGGCTTGCAACGAAACTAAGTGACAAGGAGTCGTCATCTGGGGATGAGCTCGATCCAGATACAACTGAGGGAGCTCAGGAGAGCTCGTGTGATGAAGACCACAAGCACATTCAAGGTGAACTCATGAGAGTAAGTCAACCGTTCACGTTTATTGTTACACTTCTGATGGGAGGAGTGCACAGGTCATGAAGCCCCACTACTCCACAAGCTGTGCATATGTTTTATTCAGTGGCCAATTTGTTTCTCTTAATATCTGTGATCCTGAACAGAAGAGATGTTTACACTTAAATAGAACAAAAACTGTGGATGCTGGAGATCTGAAACAAACAAAAAACAGAAATGATTGGAGAGACTCGGTAGCACCTGCAGAGAGAAAATAGTGGATTCGAAATGTTATCTCTGTTTTCTTCGTACAGATGGTGCCAGACCTGCTGAGCTTCTCCAAGCAATCTCTATTTTCATTTGTTTCACAAATTCCTTCAATGACCTCAAAAATAACTTGTTTATTATGAAAAACCTTATTCTTACAATTAGTAGCAGAGCTGGTTAACAACTAAACTATCACCTGTAATCAATCTATGTGCCTTTAATCCAGTAGACAATAGAAATATAAAAAGATCTTGTTAGATTCAGCTGGAGGATTGTATACGGTTATGGGCACCACAAAGACGTCAGTTGTATTGGAGAGAGTGCAGGGGCACTCTGTCAGTTAACACCCAGACAGTGAAAACAAACATCATCCTCGACGTGATAGCGTCAGTGTCGACGCCAGCAGAGAATGCCAGTCGTTGGGAAGGTGTGGTGGAGGCAAGTTCAGTTGAGGCATTCAAGGGGGCATCGATTTATTATTTACAATACATCCTCTGTATCCACAAAATCACAAATCGCGCCTATCCGTGCCAAAAAATAAGTAACAGAAAAAATCAACATCTGCGGGCAAAAGTTGCATATCTGTGATACGTTTAATCATTTTAACCTATTTTAACGAGTTCTCCACTCACGCATCTGATCGCTCACAGGGGTTCTCAGGAATAGAACCCTCGTGGATATGGAGGAATGGATGTAGAAACAATGCGCAGGGTTACGGAAAAAAGGCAGGAGATTGGCACTGAGTTAAAAATGCTGAGAGCCAGGGCAAGCCTAATGGACCTCTTCTGTACTGTAAAATCTCTGTGATCTCAGAATGCAATCTTGCATGTAATTTCCCTGCTAAGGTCTAACGGTATTTTTGGAACTGCAAAGAATGGCAATTCTAGTTAACAAATTCCACATACAAACATTGAAATTAAGTGGGTTATGGCTGTATAAAATTTAGAACAGGGTAACACAGCACTAAGAATCAGAGCATGTCCATCAGAATACCTGCCCACAGATTTTATTTCAAATTTCATCTATCTGTTAAGAAGGTATGTGAAACAATGCTTCATTTAGATGCCGATAATAAGTTAAATTAAAACTTCTTTGGCAAGCAAGTCATTAATTTAACAGCAACTTGATCAAACAGATGTAAGTGAGCAGGAGTTAGGACTGGGCATTCAGGGACTAAAAGTGGTACTAGAGATGAGTCATATTGTCTGCGCCTGTTGTTTCTATATCTGTGTAAAAGCAACATGTAAAAGGGAACACAATGTAAAATGTCTTCAAGTGCCTCTCAACATCAATTAGCAAGGTACAAGAGCTGCGTTGTTCAGAAAGGTGACAGGTTCGCATTATGTAATATTGACCTTTTTTTAAGAAGTTCTCTGATCACCAGTGCCTGTTTTGATCCTCAGATAGAGCTGTGCTATGTTCTGGTGATGACTGAAAGAAATGTTTTTAGAGCTGTCTGCTTCTGAAGTAGTTGTTTCGGACTGGAGTGTCCTCACTTCCACTCATTTATCCCATAACACATGTATTAATTTTGTTTCGAGGGCCAGTTAGCTGCCCTGGCTTTTCCCTTATTTCATCTGTGTTAACAATGCAAATTCAAAGAATGGTACAGACTTTGTTCTTGCCACTTACCCATGTGTGCAGCTACTGACCTTGGAAACACCATCATGAAGAAAAGGCAAACAGACTACAGGCACTTCACAGTAGGAACGTTGGGTAAACTGAATGCTCAACCCTACCATCGCTCCATTTGGAGCCTGCCCAGCCATTTCTGGGGCTTGTCATCTTCCAGACAACAAATGGAAGAATTATGTAATAATTTCAGCAGGACCTCCATTCCTTGTTCCTGCCCAATGATGTACCTTCTCACCATCCACACCTCAAAGTAAATATCCAGACATTTCTTGGATGCAGGGCAAAACTTGGTTCATTTTCTTTCCTCCCTAGACAGGGATTCTGAGGCAAAATGTTGCTCTTTTGCAGTTCCCGGGCTCAAATACTTTAGGTTACAACTAAGACGAGGGGAGTGCACTGTCTCTCTCTCTCTCTCTCTCCAGTCCCACTACTCCATGGGCCACAACATAAACTTAATGGCTTGCCTCAGTCCCCAATATAGCCAGTCATGTGATTTATCTACGTTTGACCGATGATGAAGATATCCATCATCCAGGTTTCCCTAATAAATACAGGATTATGGATTAACTATAAAACAAAACCTACTCGATCAATAACATAAGAACATAAGAACTAGGAGCAGGAGTAGGCCATCCGGCCCCTCGAGCCTGCCCTGCCATTTAATAAGATCATGGCTGATCTTTTTGAGACTCAGCTCCACTTACCCGCCCACTCACTATAACCCTTAATTCCTTTACTGTTCAAAAATTTATCTAGCCTTGCCTTAAAAACATTCAGCGAGGTAGCTTCAACCGCTTCACTGGGCAGGGAATTCCACAGATTCGCAACCCTTCGGGTGAAGAAGTCCCTCCTGACCTCAGTCCTACATCTGCTTCCCTTTATTTTGAGGCGATGCCCTCTAGTCCTAGTTTCACCTGCTAGCGGAAACAACCTCCCTGCCTCCACCTTATCTATTCCTTTCATAATCTTATATGTTTCTATAAGATCTCCCCTCATTCTTCTGAATTCCAATGAGTATAATCCCAGTCTACTCAGTCTCTCCTCATAATCCAACCCTCTCAACTCTGGAATCAACCGAGTGAATCTCCTCTGCACCCTCTCCAGTGCTACTATATCTCTTCTCAAGTAAGGAGCCCAAAACTGCGCCCAGTACTCCAGGTGTGGCCTCACCAGGACCCTATACAGCTGCAGCATAGCCTCCCTGTTTTTAAACTCCATCCCTCTAGCAATGGCAGACAAAATTCCATTTGCCTTTTTAATTACCTGCTGCACCTGCAATCCTACTTTTAGTGATTCATGCACAAGGACACCCAAGTCCCTCTGCACAGCAGCGTGCTGCAATTTTTTACCGTTTAAAACATAGTCCATTTTGCTGTTATTCCTACCAAAATGGATGACCTCACACTTATCAACATTGTACTCCATCTGCCAGACCTTTGCCCACTCACTTAGACTATCTATATCCCTCTGCAGACTTTCAGTGTCTTCTGCACACTTTGCTCTACCACTTACCTTAGTGTCATCTGCAAATTTTGACACACCACACTTAGTCCCCAACTCCAAATCATCTATGTAAATTGTAAACAATTGCGGTCCCAACACTGATCCCTGAGGCACACGCTAGCCACTGACCGCCAACCAGAAAAACACCCATTTACCCCTACTCTTTGCTTTCTACTGGTCAACCAATCCTCTATCCTTGCCAATACATTACCTTAATACCATGGAACTTTATCTTATGTAGCAGCCTTTGGTGTGGCACCTTGTCAAATGCCTTCTGGAAATCCAGATACACCACATCCACAGATTCCCCATTGTCCACCATGCAAGTAATGTCCTCAAAGAATTCCACCAAATTAGTTAAACATGACCTACCCTTCATGAACCCATGCTGGGTGTTCCCAATGGGACAATTTATATCCATATGTCTTGCTATTTCTTCCTTAATGATAGATTCAAGCATTTTCCCCACTACCGAAGTTAAGCTAACTGGCCTATAGTTACCTGCTTTTTGTCTACTTCCTTTTTTAAACGGTGGTGTCACATTGGCTGTTTTCCAATCTGCGGGAACCACCCCAGAGTCCAGTGAATTTTGGTAAATAATTACTAGTGCATTTGCTATGTCCCCCATCACCTCTTTTAGTACCCTGGGATGCATTTCATCAGGGCCAGGAGACTTGTCTACCTTTAGTCCCATTAGCTTGCCCAGCACTGCCTCCTTAGTGATAATGATAGTTTCTAGGTCCTCACCTGCTATAACCTTCTTGCCATCAGTTTTCGGCATGTTATTTGTGTCTTTCACTATGAAGACTGACACGAAATAACTGTTTAATGTCTCGGCTATTTTCTCATTCCCAGTTATTAAATTGGCCTTCTCATCCTCTAAAGGACCAATGTTTACCTTCGCCACTCTTTTACGATTTACATATTTATAGAAACTTTTGCTGCCTGTTTTTATATTCTGAGCTATTTTACTCTCATAATCTATCTTAGTTTTCTTTATAACTTTTTTTGTGACTTTCTGTTGGCCTTTAAAGATTTCCCAGTCTACTAGTTTCCCACTACTCTTTGCTTTTTTGTATGTTTTTTTTCCAATCTGATACTTTCCTTTATTTCCTTGGACATCCATGGCTGGCTGGCTCTTTTCCTACAGTTCTTCCTTATCACTGGAATATACTTCTGCTGAGCACTGTGAAAAATTGTTTTGAAAGTCCTCCACTGTTTCTCAATTGACCCACCATAAAGTTTTTGCCCCCATTCTACCTTAGCTAACTCCTCCCTCATTCCTTCATAGTCTCCTTTGTTTAAGAACAGGACATTGGTACTGGATTTAACCTTCTCACGCTCCATCTGTATTTTAAATTCCAACATTATGTGATCGCTCCTTCCGAGAGGATCCCTAACTGTGAGATCATTAATTATTCCTGTCTCATTACACAGGACTAGATCTAGGATAGCTTGCTCCCTCGTAGGTTCCATTACATAATGTTCAAGGAAATTATCGTGGATGCATTCTATGAACCCCTCCTCAAGGCTGCCATGACCGACCTGGTTTGACCAATCGATATGTAGATTAAAATCCCCCATGATAATTGCTGTACCATTTTTACATGCATTAGTTATTT